AGGAGGAGAAGGAGAGGCCACCCCACCGAGCGCGCGCCGAGGGCCACGCGCGCCTTCGGGCGGGGCGGGCGAATCGTCACGATGGGATTGCCCTCCGCGTCCGTGGCCGACTGCCGCTCGTAGCGCTTCGGCAGGGGCGGCGCCTGCAGGTGCCCAGTAGGGGAGGGGTGTGGGGGGGAGGGCCTCCCTCCACTGGGGCGTCGCTCTACTTGGGGGGGGGGGGGGGGGGGGACTGGGGGGAAGGGTGCACTTTTCGGACGCAAGGGCGCCTTCTGGACCCGACAAAATCGAGCCCTCCCCGTGACCCTGAAGGACCCCTTTCTGCAGCCCTCGCTGCCCCCATGGCGCGACGCCCAGCCCGCTTGGCGGCGCGCACAAGGGAGTAGGGAGTAGGGGGAGGGGGGGGGCTTCTTAGAAGGAGGCTGGTTCTTAGAAGGCGCGGGTTTCTTAGAAGGAGGCTGATTCTTAGAAGGCTGATTCTTTAGAGAAGCAAGGGTGCTTCTAAGAAACCTTCCCGGTTTCCCAATACCCCCCTCTGCGCGTGGCCGGTCCATGCAGCTTGTCCATTTCATCAGCATTTACGACCACGATGACAAGCACGACGGCGACGACGACCGCACCGACCCCGACGCCGACGACCCTGACATCATTGTGCCGTGGCAAAAAGTAGGACGGCACGGTCATTGACCGTTTCTCGCCGCCAGGGGCCCTTTCAGGTGTCTGGGGCTGTCTAGAAAAAATGTGATTTGAAGACTGGAAATCTTGTTTGTATGGAGGCGCGCGGGCGTGACGAGGCCCGCAAAGAAATCTGCACTTCGCGCAGCGCAAATCAGGCCTCCGTTGAGCAACTGAACTCCAAATCGGAATCCGGCGCCGAAATGGAATCAGAGTCGACCGAGTCGAGTCAGGCCGGAAGAATCGCAGTGGGTCCGAGAACCCTGATCCATGGGGAGAGGTCCAGACCTCTTGGCAGCCACGCCGCAAACAGCAAGCACGAGACGTCGGACGCCAAGGCGCTAGCCGCGCCCGCTCGGCAGCCCCGCCCTAGACCTCCAGCGCACGGACCACGTCAGGGCGGAGTGGTATCGCCATTCTCGGGCACCGCCGATGGAGGCCTCCTCGATGGGGCCCCAGTAGAGTTCTCGTGCTACCATACAAACATGAAAGAACGAAGAGGCCCTCGCCGGGCCCCCCCGCTCACTTTCCCCCTCCGCTCCCCCGATCCATCGCCTCCGTTTCTTCCAGATGGCGGATTCCCGATAGCCTGAACCCAAAAACGTATTCATCTCTTGGGGGCGCATCTTTTACTTCCGCCGCCTTCCGCCAACCTTCCGCCGGCTTCCGCGCCGGCTTCCGTCCGTGAAAGCGGCATAGTTCTACTTCCGCAAACCTTCCGCCGCCCTCCGACGAGGAAGAGACGACACCTCTGCCCTCGAAGGCAAGGCCCTAATTCGCAGCAGCGGACCCCTGAAGCACGACCCCAAGAGCGATGCGCTCCGCTGATTTTTGGCGACAGCCGATCGAATCATGTACACTCCAGTTCCAGTCCTCAACACACACGTGTTCAAATCGACAAACCTGCTGAATACGATATCCATCGCCCCCTCTTTTGCTCGGCGGCGAGTTATGCAGTAGACTGACGGTCAAAGCGAGCGGAGGCCGACGAGGAAAGGAGAGTGAAGATAACGCCCGCGCGCACGCCTTGAAGGTGCGAATCGTCAACTATTCCTCCGCATCGTCCTCCACTCCTCTGTCCAAGTCGTCGTCGTCGTCCTCCTCCTCTCCCCCATCTCCCATCCTTTCATCCCTCTCTCCCCCTCGACATCCCCTGTCCGCTTATCCCGCTCCGCCCACCACATGGAGAGGCAGAGACTCTGTGACGAAGCATCTGGCGCGACACCACCGCACCCAAAGGTTCAGCCCACGCCACGTACATCGCCTCTTTTTGACCGCAACAATGATAGTGAACACTGAACGACTGATGACCACCACGCGTCTGAGCTCCGTGATCACCACGCAAACTTGATATGAAGAACACATGGCGCACTACCTGTCCTATCGGCGCCGGCCGGCTGCGAACACCAACTGGGTGGGCAGCGTGGTTGTTTCAATGTGTGTGAGGTTAGGACAGAAAAGGCAATCGCCAACGGAACGGACGTCCTTCGAACGTGGCCAAAACGCCACATTCCCAATCTACGGGCGAGTGGCAGGGACGGAGGCAGAGAAGGAAATGGAGAGCAGCGGAGAGGACGGGGAAGGGGAGATGACCGTTCCCAGTCGGCGATTTGGCCGAGGCTCGAGCGGCACCAGAGTCCCAATCAAAGACGTGGACAGTGCTGAGGCGAATCTGCCATTCCTTCTCCTCAGGGATGCGGCGTCGCACAAGCTGCATCACAGAACTTCATGAAGGACATATGGCCAGCGCTCAAAGGCGAAAACACCATCCCCCAGAAAGGATGTGGCCAAACGCTCAAGCGGCAACACCATGTGGACAAGCCTTCCCGTCTGGAGGTGGAGGAGGAGGAGGAGTAATACTCGTAGTAGTGGTAGTGATAGTGATAGTGATAGTGGTAGTGGTAGTGGTAGTGGTAGTGGTAGTGGTAGTGGTAGTGGTAGTCGTAGTGGTAGTGGTAGTGGTAGTGGTAGTGGTAGTGGTAGTGGTAGTAGTAGTAGTAGTAGTAGTAGTAGTAGTAGTAGTAGTAGTAGTAGTAGTAGTAGTAGTAGTAGTAGTAGTAGTAGTAGTAGTAGTAGTAGTAGTAGTAGTAGTAGTAGTAGTAGTAGTAGTAGTAGTAGTAGTAGTAGTAGTAGTAGTAGTAGTAGTAGTAGTAGTAGTAGTAGTAGTAGTAGTAGTAGTAGTAGTAGTAGTAGTAGTAGTAGTAGTAGGTAGTAGTAGTAGTAGTAGTAGTAGTAGTAGTAGTAGTAGTAGTAGTAGTAGTAGTAGTAGTAGTAGTAGTAGTAGTAGTAGTAGTAGTAGTAGTAGTAGTTAGTAGTAGTAGTAGTAGTAGTAGTAGTAGTAGTAGTAGTAGTAGTAGTAGTAGTAGTAGTAGTAGTAGTAGTAGTAGTAGTAGTAGTAGTAGTAGTAGTAGTAGCGTGTAGCAGCAGCAGCAGTAGTAAGTAGTAGTAGCAGCAGCAGGTAGTAGTAGTAGTAGTAGTCGTAGTAGTAGTAGTAGTCGTAGTAGTAGTAGTAGTAGTAGTAGTAGTAGTAGTAGTAGTAGAAGTAGAAGTAGAAGTGTAGTAGTAGTAGTAGTGTAGTGGTAGTAATGGTAGTAGTATAAGTAGCAGTAGTCGTCGTCGTCGTCGTCGTCGTCGTCGTCGTCGTGGTAGTAGTAGTAGTAATAGTAGTCGTAGTAGTAGTAGTAGTAGTAGTGGTAGTAGTAGTAGTAGTAGTAGTAGTAGTAGTATAGTAGTAGTAGTAGTAGTAGTAGTAGTAGTAGTAGTAGTAGTAGTAGTAGTAGTAGTAGTAGTAGTAGTAGTAGTAGTAGTAGTAGTAGTAGTAGTAGTAGTAGTAGTAGTAGTAGTAGTAGTAGTAGTAGTAGTAGTAGTAGTAGTAGTAGTAGTAGTAGTAGTAGTAATAGTAGTAGTAATAGTAGTCGTAGTCGTAGTAGTAGTAGTAGTAGTAGTAGTAGTAGTAGTAGTAGTAGTAGTAGTAGTAGTAGTAGTAGTAGTAGTAGTAGTAGTATTAGTAGTAGTAGTCGTAGTAGTCGTAGTCGGAGTCGTGGATTAGTTGTAGTAGCCACAGTAGTAGTAGCAGCAGCAGGAGTAGTAGTAGTAGTAGTAGTAATAATAATCGTCGTCGTGCCAAGTTCTTGAAGACGGAACATACTATGAGAACAACGACTGGGAAAGGACCCAGACCCCCGACGCCGCGAGGCGTCCCTTGCGCAGACCCTCGAAACCAAGGCCTCTCGGTGGCCTATCCCGGCACGTATCCGCTCACGGCAGGGGAGGACCTCAAAGGCCGAACATGACCACAAACATACATCCGTCGCCGTGTTCATGCTCGGAGGGGAGAGAATGCCAAATGCTTCCGTCTGTCTCCACATTTCCTCTGCTCACGCGCCGCCTGGAATCAGTCTCTACCTGACCTGACCCTGACCTGGAAAGGAATGGGGAGGGTGGGGTGGAGGAAGATCCCGAAGCCTACAGCGGAGGCCGAAGAGGGTCAGGGCTTCGTCTGGCAACTCAAGGGAACCTCCCATGCCATCATGCTGGATGTTGCGAGTCGACGCTAACGAGCGCTAATCGACGCTAAACTGGCGCTCTCTCATCCAAGGCCAGACGCTAGCGCAGACGAGTGCACTCTGAAGACGGAGATCCGAAGACATGCAGGGAGAAGAGGGCGAAGAGCGGGAGAAGGAACGGCCGCCCAAATCACAAGCAGACCTCCGTCCATGTCCCGACCCTCGTGGCGCCACGTAGTCGGCGTGGTGGCTCTCGTGCAAGTAGAGGCGGTCGCTGTCCAGGGGGACCCACTCGTCGTGCCTGCGGGGGGCAAGAAGCCCAGAAGGGACGTACACGCCCGGGGGCGTCCGTGAGCATGCCCAGACGGGGAAGCCGCCCTGATGTCACGAAACCCATGTGACTGCTTTACGTGGGCGCCGGCTGCGGAGGAGAGGGGGGAACCAGGGGCGACATCCGAACCCTACCCCCACCAACCAGCGATTCTCCCGAATCGATGGGAGGCGGGGGGCAGGTGGGGTTCGGATCTCGCCGCCGACGAACGGGGTGAGGGGACGGAGAGGAGGCGCTCTGGCCGCGCCATGGCGCGCTCCGCGCGCCAGTGGCGGCGCTGGAAGCGCCGCCAGGGGGGGGGCAGGCGCGGATCCAAGAAGTCCGCGCCGAGCGCCAAAAGTTTATGTTTATGGCGTTTGTTCTTTTTCGACTTCCCTCCACTGGCGCCGTGAGCCATGCCTTAGCGCTCGGCAAGCAGACGGGAACGCTGACGCAGACTGCAAACGAGCTCGTGCCGAGTGCGCTCGAGGCGGAGCCGGCGGGATGGGGCGACTGCACGCAGCAAGGCGAGCGCCATCGAAGCGGCGTGACGTGTTCGAGCAGGAAGCCCGTGTTGCCCAGCGCTCCTGGGCCGTCTTCGGCGGTCTTCGGGTGGTCCTCGGCGGTCTCTTTTTCATCGGGCAGAAAGGAACCCCGGACCCTGATCCGCCGGCCCCCTTGTGGGGCCACCAGGCTGTAGGGCGAAGGTTCGCAGTTTCCTGCACCAGTTGCAGCTTCCAGCTTCCACTGTTACAGTTCTGCTTCTTGCTGCTTACTGTTCCTTGTTGATGGCCTGCGCGAGGGGGGGAGGCCCAAACGAGCAGGTTTAGCACGCCCTGAGCGTGTGCTCTGAATTGCTGGGGTGGGTAAAATTTGACACCCCTCACGCAGATCGGCGGGGTCAGGGTCCAACAACACACGGGATTTGCCACATGTTTGCAATTCTGTGGCACCCCTCACGCAGATCGGCGGGGCCAGGGTCCAAAAACACATATGGAATTTGTCACATTTTCAAAATTTGCTGGCACCCCTCATGCAGATCGGCGGGGTCAGGGTCCAAAAACACATGGGATTTGCCAAGTTTCTGACATTCGGTGGTACCCCTCACGCAGATCGGCGGGGTCAGGGTGCAAAAATACAGAGGATTTGTTACATGTCTAAAATTCGCTGGCACCCCTCACGCAGATCGGCGGGGTCAGGGTCCAAAAACATATAGAATTTGCGACATTTCTGGAATTCGGCGGCAACCCTCAAGCAGATCCGTAGGGTCAGGGTCCACAAACACAGGGGATCTGCTACAGTTCTGAACCTCGGTGGCATCCCTCACGCAGACCCGTAGGGTCAGGGTCGAAAAACTAACAAGTCCCGACACTGCTTCACGGCGGCGCCCAGACCTCATGATTTAGCTTTTGTATCTCCCATTATCCGAGACAGGGGGCCGGCGGCATGGGGCGAAGCCCTTACGGATGATATGATGAAGATGTGGCCTCACTGAGGCATCGCATTAGGGATCATAATTCTGGGTGGCTTGGCCTGATGCGTCTGAAGAGAGGCCCCCTATCCCTAATGTCCCTGGCCCTACTACCTTTGGGTCATCTCCCGAAAGATTAGGGGGTCCGTTCTTATAATGCCTGACCACTTCTGCCTCCGGCGGCTTCCAGCGGTCCGAGGCAGCATCCAACGGTCTTCGGCCGCGACGGCCGGACGTGCGTCCGGCGAGGAGAGCCCGTGACGCAACGCCTGAGCACCGGCACGCGCGGGAGCGCCCGAGGGCGTCCGCCGCCCTCCAGCAGAGCCCGGTCGCCGATCTCGGGCTCTGGGAGGGCGGGGCCGAGCAGGGCTCGGCGGTCGGGCCCGATCGGAAGGGAGCCAGACATCGGAGGCGGCCAGCCAGGCAGGGGGGGCTGGCCAAGAGGGGGGGGCACAAAGCATGGCCGGCGACATGTGCGCGGCCTGGTGGGGGGGGGGCAGGGAGGCATGAGGCGCCATGAAATCTGTGGAGATATCATGGCCCCCGCCATGATATCCACCCCCCCTGGTCATCACCCCCCTCTTCGCCGCCCCCGGAACAACTGGCGCAGACCTACACTCGTGGAGCTCGGCGCGGACTTCTTGGATCCGCGCTGGACCCCACTCCCCAGCGCGCGGAGCGCGTCACGGACCCGGCGCCGGAGGCGCCGCCACGGGGGCCGAGCGCAAATCCGAAAGCTCATGCGCATGCAATTTTTGCTCTTCGACGATCGGCGATCGGCTCGGCGCCCGCTGGGAATGGCGATCCTCGCTCGGCGAGCGGGCCCGCGGCAAACCCCCGGCGGGCCGCTGCGCCGGCTGCACGCGGCACGGAGGGCGTGTCCCTCTCCAGGCTCCGCGGCAGAGCCTCCGAGGGCCTCCGCCCGAGCTGTCCGAGACGCCAGCTGGACGTGTCGGGTCGGGCGAAAGGGGGGGATAGCAGAGGGGGGGTGAGAATCAGCTCACGTAGCTGACTTTCCCGGCGCCTCCCGGCGCCGGAGGCGGCCATGTATCGAGGATTGGGCCCCTCGGTGAGGCCGAAACCAGCTGGGTCCAGCAAATTTCGTAACCCCCTCTTTCCCAATCCCCCCCTTTCGTCAGGCCGCCCGAACTTGGCTGCCCCGACACGCAGCACGCCATACGTAGCGAATTGATATGGAGCTCAACACGTGGACTAGAAACGTAGCTCTGACGCGATACGTTCGCCAGAACGTGGGCCAACAGGTCGAGCTAACAGGCAGCGTATTGACACGGACGTTTCCAGCAAGGTACGTGTTGCGTTTCAAAACGGGCGTATCGAGGCAGCTAGGCACCTGGGGGTTGCCAGCCCGACTCGAACCGCGCCGAGCGGACCGAACCTGTACGACGTTTCTGTCACAAGGCGACTCGGAACGTCGGTTCAGTGGCGGAATCATCTCTCCTGCTGGACCCGCCCTCGTTGTGTTCGATGCCAAGTCGAACAAAGAGAGGCAGCTTGGAGACTACTGTCTCCGCGTCGACAGAAGCCAGAAGCCTCACTTGGAACGAATGGAACCTGAAACATGTGGATTCCCGCAGCAGACGATAAGAACGAGGGGGCGCGACCGTGCCCTGGCGTGCCGGGTGGGACGGGCCCCCACGTGACTTTTCTAGCTCCCCCTGCGTACTGCGGCGAGGGAATTGGATCAAGAACCCCTGGATGAGGAATTTAGGGTCTGGAAGCCCGTGAAGCTCAAATCGTGGACTGGCAACGGGTATCACCGCCGCCTTCATCAGACAAGGAATCCTCCAGGGTCTGCAGCCTCCTGGGCACATACCTTCACGGACGCCACCACCCCATGCGCCTCTCAGATTGGGACGCAGCTAGGAAGGGCAATCCCATCTGAACGCACGGAAACTTGCCCCCGAGCGCGTGAAACCTTACTCGTGTTCGGCCATCGTGGACTGCACGTGTGGCATGCTCAGCGATCTTTACGAGGTCAAGATCAGAGGCGGCTTTGGAATCGCGAGCGAGGGGTAGGAGACAAGGCGACGGATCGGGGGGGGAGCGAAGACCAGCAGGGGGGGTGCTGGGTTGGCGGGAAGAGGCCCTGACATCCTCGACGACGGATGTGTGTGCGCCGTCTTCGGCATTTGGATACCGTGCGAGGCCCGGGACCGTCAACAACTTCTAGGATGCGAAGCTGAGTCCAGGAAGAGGTCCATCTAGGGGGCCACTTGTGGCAAAGAACAGGCGGGTAATGAGGAGGGGCAGGGGGAGGATCCCGAGGTGCAGAAACAGAAGCACGAGGACCCGAGGGGGAGGATCCCGAGGACGAGGACGATACTCGCATGTGAAGAATTTGGACGAGGAGCATGAATTCGAAGTTCTCGCAACAAGGCTCGACCTCGTCCCTGGAACCAGCCCTTCATCCGGATCAGTTGAATGGCGATCCCAAGGCCCGGTAGATGCCTCCCGAAGGCCGACCACTGCCAAAACCTGTCGGTCATGGTGTTGTGCCACCGCGCGAGCGTGTCAGACTGCGAGGACGAGGGGGACGGGCACCAGGAGCAGGACGGACGCCCGACATGGCAGGATCCCGGCCGCGTGCGAACGAAGCACGCACGAGCGAGGGGCCCTCGTCCTGCTGGGCCAGCCGTCGTAGCCGACCTTCACCTGCCCCTCGCCGACCTCTCGGATGGTGGCTGCCCACCACCTGGCGCGTGCGCGCGCGCCCCTGCGCACCTTCCGCACAGACGTCCACGGCGGAACCATGAAGAGGAGGAGGAGGAGGAGGAGGAGAAGGAGGAGCAGGCCCGAGTGCCGAACCGACTGGGCCGACCCCGACACCGACTCCCACTGGCCGGGCGCAGCCCGGTCACGAACGCAGAGGCGCACCGTCCGACCAGACCGCAGCGGCCGCATGCGGCCGACGGCGAAGCCACCGATCCGACCGACCGTGGGCACACTGTCACGCGGTGGGCGCGCAGACCCTCCGACCCCGTCTGCTCCTCCAGCTCCTGCGCCTGCACCGTCCCCTCCTCCCCCTCGAGATCGGCAGGCTGGCTACACAGAACTGGGCCGGGTAGATCGTAACAGCCGAGGTGCAGAACACAGAAAATCTAGAGTATCGTGCTAAGGATAGAGAGGAACTGCGTAGACGGTATATAGCAGAGAGCGGAGCGTGGAGGTAGATGCACAGATGTAAAGGGGAACGTATACAGTAAATCCGCCGACCCCCGCTTGCCGGGGGTGAGAAGGCATGTGAGATGATTGGCTGTCCTCCTCCCCCATCCCCCCTCCCCTGGGGCCAAAAGTCGTATTATGAGCTGGGGGCCGGGGAATGGGGGGGGACGAGGTCGTCAAAGCATCCCGTGGCCTCTCTGGAGCCTCCCCAACAAAACCCAAAGACAGCCCAACGGGCGCCAATACTAACCAAGAGAGCGTCGAGACGGCCGAAGATCTCCCCACAACGGTCCAAGATGGCTTCAAGACGGCCTGCGAGGCCCCCAAGACGGGCCCCGAGTGCTTCAAGAGGGTCGCTGAGAGGGTCCCAAGAGGCAACAATAGTTGCACTCCGACAAGAGGACTTACAATTTCGACATACACGCACGCCTTTCTCATCTTGACAGCTTTCACTACGGCACGGCCCATGAGGCCCCCCAAAATCGTCACAAGACGGCCCATGAGGCCCCTAAGACGGCCCCAGGACGGCCCAATAGAGCTCCAAGAAAGCGCCCAAGAGGGCCCCAAGACGGCCCCAGGGGCCCCTAAGACGGCCCAGGACGGCCCCAGAGGGCCCCAAGAGGGGCAGCACGCACTGCCATCTCCAGGCTGTCACGCTGTGATGGCCCAAGGAGCCCCTCAATGACTGCCGAGGCACCCCGAAGAGGCCCAAAGAGGCTCCCAAGAGGCTTCCAAGAGGCCCCCACGAGGCCCCCGAAGAGGCCCCAACATGCCAACCGGCTGCCCCCAAAGAGCCCTCCAAGAGGCCTTCCAGGCGACGCTCATAGGCATCTTCGAGGCTACTGTCCAACAGGCTGGGCAGTGAACGACTCTTGACGAATTCTCGGGCCTGACGCTGCTACCGGTGCGCTTTGAGCCTCAACGCCTTCGGCACAGGCAGCGCATCGGCCATGATGTGTTTGACCTGTGTATCTTTCCTCGTGAAATGTCTTGCGCAATAGGGGTGTCGCATCTGTTTCAAGTCATCATCACTTACAAGCATCGCCGTCGGATTTGCGCATGATTGGCGAGCCGCAACCTTGCGGCGGGCAAGCCCGACCCCACCTTTGAACACACACCAGTCCAGCCACATGTCAGCAGGAGGTTCCACAGCAGAGGCAGAAGCGGCGACAGTGAGCACGCGGCGAAAGCTCCGCGGTTCTAAGAAGGTCAGCCACTTCAGCCATGGCTCAGCCAGCTCAGGAGAATCTCCACGCAGTAGAAGACGTCGTCGTGCTTCGAGCTGCTCATGGCCCTCGAAGGACAGCCACAGGCGTCGCATGCCCTCTTTCGGGAGGGCCCGCATGCCCATCGGCCCCATTCGGCGTCGCACTCTCAAAAGAGAATATGCCAAAGATGGCAGCGCGCACTGCACGGGTCGGGTTGTGCGATTCCTCTGCGGGCTCACGAAACACAGGCCGCAATACTTGACGCCAGAATTTCAGCCGCCCCCTCAGCAGTGCGCTCTCCACTGTGGGAACACGGGCCGTCTTCCTGATGTCGTGGTTAGTCTTCTCGCGTAGGTGAGCTGGTGAGTGGAGTAGCCCTCGAACTTTGCGAACTTGCCACGCTTCGAGTCGCGCCAGCTCCCGCATTGATAAGTCCGTCACCTCCAGGCAGCACAGGCTGACTGAGCGTAGCAGGGATTTCCACCGTCTGATCTTCAGCGCGGGGCTGAACCTTCCTTCGACAGCACAGCGTAGTAGTCGACCATGGGCCGTGCGCGCTGCCTCGATCCCGTGAGTCGCCTCAGTCTGGTCGCTGCCAGTGGTAGCCAGCTGGACGCCAAGGTACTTGACCGTCGGCTGATGGTTGATGGGGAAGCAATCATCGCCTTGCCGCGCGACGACACCTGTCGCGCGCGCCCCGATGCGTTTCTCCCTCTCCTTGCTGCCCACCCCCGACGGTGTCAAAAGAAGCTCGACTTCTATCCCGTTCACCTGCACGCCGCCGCGTTCGATCTCGCCGCGGACGACTTCCAAAAAATTCGAGGCGTCGTCAAGCCCGTCAATTGCCGTAAACGCAAGCAGGTCATCTGGGAACTCAGGCGGGTTATGTCCACATGCTCGCAGGCGTCCTCCTCCAATCCGCCATTGTTCCTGAGGCGCTCGAGCGCGGGGTCGAAGCACACCTTGATCCACGAGCATTCCATCTCTGATGGTACTTTCGCCAGCTGCGCCACCAACCTGCCGCACGCCGCCGCGAAGAGAGCGGACCTTTCAACTCGTCCTTGACGACACGCGCAGCAAGCTTAAAGTGCAGCGCGGGGGAGGGGGAAGCGGAGAGGAACTGCAGAGAGACCGACGCAGCAGCCGACAACTACGCGATCGCCGCCATGCATGGGCATGTTGAGATTGTTGCGAGATTGAATTTGGAACGGGCTTTCGAAGAGGTAGGAATCGTCGATACCGCCCATGTCCGCGGAAACCCCTGCGGGCCTACTCACACGACACATGCGTGCAAACTTTTTCCGTCGCGGCGCGGCAGAGGCGATCCGCTCGCGCGCAGCCTGGGCTACGGCATTGCGAACTGTCCCACATGGAATGGGAGGAAGGAAAGAAGAGAGCCGGCCGCAGCGACACGAGATAGGAACAAGGCGCACTCACGCGGCGAGGCCGCGGGGGGGGGCGCGCGGGGCGGCCAGGCCGCAGGGCAACCTCTGGCAGCGAGCGCGGGGCGGCGACGCGGGCGCACCCAGGGGAGGAGCCGGCAGCCGCAGCACAGGGCTGGGCCCAGCAAGCGGGAGCGGCGGGCCGCCAAAAAGACGGGCCACGGGCGCCGAGGTGGGGGGGGGGGGGGCAGGAGGCAGGCCGGCTGCGGCGGTTTGGGCTGTGGCCCAGCGCGGCGCAGCGTGGCGGCGGCGAGGCGTGACCGCAAAGCGAGGGGGGCGGGCGAAGAGGCCAGGCGAAGCAGAACGCCAGGGGGGCCGAGCGCCCGGCGGCACACCCACACACACACATACACACACACACACCAACTTCGCGCTCCCGAGACCAGAATCCCTCAACGAAATACGCCAAGCTCGCGTTTGCGAGGCCAGAATTCCTCCCAAGTTGCGTCAGCTTCGCGTTTCGAATCCAAAATCCTTCGTAAATTACCCCCGTGTCGCGCTCCCGACACCAGATTCCCTCGAAAATTGCACCGTAGTCGCACTCCCGAGGCCAGAATCCCGCGTAAATTGCAACAGAACGGGTTTGCGCTGCCGGGGCCAGAATCCTCTGCAAATTAAGCCAGATTCACACTGCCGAGGCGAGATTCCCGTCTAATTTAGGTCAGTCGCGCGGGGAACGCTCCCCCAAAAAAGAAGCGCTCAATAAAAACATCTCAATATGTGCTGCTGAGTCCTATCCGTCCCCGCATGGTCCCAAAGGTCTTCAAGACGGCGTCAACGACCGGACACGGCTCTCATGTCTGCCATTCTGATAGAGAGGGCCGACGGCAGAGGGCGCAGTCCTTCTGGATAACGCAGGAGCAGCGGCTGCAAGCTAAACCAAGCTGGCACACACTGCAAATTACGTAGGTGACGAAACCTGACCACATACGATTTGTGTTGTCGCACTGTGTCGGTGACGACCCGATGTGCACCCACAGCACGACTTGGCACCATTCCTGCAGAACGAGCGGTAGCACCATCAACGCATTCCGCCTGTCGGTTTGAGATCTGCGCATACACAGAACGAGCAAGCAGAGAGACTCTGCCCCTGCCACAGCTAAGGAGACTTCGTAGGACCAGCACATCAACTCATGGAAGAGACTGCGTCTCTGGTCAAACCCTAATCGATGAATATTGGACGCTGTCGCATGATAGTTGCGGTGAGGCTGCGCTCAGATAGCAGCGGGTTGACTCGAAGCACCGCCAGCTTCAACCGATGCACTGAATTCGCTCACGCGCGAGGCGCAGATGTCGCGGGCACTCGACCCAAAACCCTGCGGAGAGCAGTGCGAATCAAAATGTTGCCAGGTAAACCAGGTTTCCGACGCGAGCCGACCTGCAATAGGTAAGCTCATGCAGTGAGCCGTGGCCTGAAAGAGGGAGATGAGCGCGCCGCGTCTGAATACCCCACGAAGCCCGAACGGCCCAATCGGGGCTAGTGCGCTGCTTCCACTCCTCTTGGCGCCTGCTGGGCACGCCTGGGGCATCCGGGAACACTGTGACACTCTGTATGGGCCACCGCCTCGCGGGCGCTCCCAGAGACCAACTGGGACGTCGTGGCACGTCTTGAGCCTCTCTAGGAACCCTCTTTGCCTTGGCGCCGTCCTACCTAATTTTCGGGCCCTCTTGGGCTGGCGTGGACGCATCCGGTAACCGCCTTGGAGCCGTCTTGAAGGCCCAGCGACCCCTCGTGGGCCTCTTTCGTGAGTTGCTGAAGCCCTTTTTGGGCCGTCTTGGGTCCATCGGAAAACCAAGTTGGAGGCATCACGTACCGGAAGGCCGAGCATGTGTTTGACAAAAGCGCAATGTGTAAGCATACTCATCGTTGATGGTTAGTT